CGCATTCAGTACCTTTATATCTTGTCACCTTCTCTTATTTTCCAAGTAAAGTTTTTTTAAATATATATATTTTTTTATTTTAAAGGTGTGGGGTACAATTCAGGATCAGGTGTACAAGTGGTCATCATACAGGTAAAGCTCGGGCCTCCCTTTGGTTCCCACTACACCTAGTTTGGTTTGAGATCAGGTACCCTTACTGATGTTGTGTGTCTCCCCCCCGCCTCCACAATATCTTGCTACTGCCAGTTAATCCCTTTCTTATAATATTATGGTAAATGTTCAGGGTCCACTTATGAGTGAGAACATGTGGTACTCAGTACTTTGTTTCTGTGATAGATCTCTGAGTATGATAGATTCTAAGTCCATCCAAGTTGCTGCAAAGTCCATATGTTTGTCCTTCTTATGGTTGTGTAATATTCCATTGTGTATATATACCACATTTCTTTAATCCAATCCATTTTTGTTGGGCAGTACAGCTGGTTCCATGTTTTTGCTATTGTGAATAGTGCTGCAGTAAACATGTATATGCAGGTATCTCTTTTGTAGAATGATTTGAATTCCTCTGGGTATAGTCCCAGTAGGGGGATTGCTGGGTCATATGGAAGGTAAATTTCTAGTTCTTTTAGAAATCGGCACACCATTCTCCATAGAGGGTGAACTCGTTTGCATTCCCAGCAGCAGTGTAGAAGCATTCCCTTTTCTCCACATCCTCGCCAGTATCTGTTTTGTTTTGTTTTTTTTTAACTCAATAATGACCATTCTTACTGGGGTTAGGTGGTATCTTAATGTGGTTTTTAAATTGCATTTCTCTGATGATTAGTGAGCCTGAGCACTTTTCCATGTTTCTGTTGGCTGCATGTATGTCTTCTTTTGAGAAGTGTCTATTCATTTCTTTTGCCACTTTTTAATAGAGCTGTTTGTTTTTTCCTTTCGGCACATTTCCAGGTAATGTTTTAAAATCCTCTTGGTTCATTTACATGTCAGATTTGGTTCTGACATTTTACATTTCTAACTATTTTTTTTTAGCCTGCGTTGCATCCTAGGATGCATCATTAAGACCAGTGAGGGGTCTTATTATATGACATATATTAACACATTTGCAAATGTTTCTCAGCTTTCAGATTATACATTTTATTGAAAAAACTCTGTATGTGTACATGTGTATATTTCCATCAGTTCTTTCTGGATACACAAAAGGATAACTGTGTAGTGTGTATGCAGAGATCCATCTCTCTTGGACAAAAATTACTTGACCTAATTTATAGACGTGGTCAGCTGAAGTAGCTTATCAGTGAACAGTAATCCCCTGGCTCTTTTTAGGTTTAGGTTCAGTTGGGGTTGTCTAATCTACAAATAGGGCTCAAACTCCAGGAAAACCCAATAGGATGTAAGGAGAGCCACAAAACTGATGGAAGAACTGGAATTAATTTGCTGCAGCCTTGTTACTTCCTAGGCCTTTCTGAACAGGTGGACCTGTGAGATGTTCACATGGACAAGTGCTGGCTTTCACCACGTGTCCGTGAGGCAAGCATCCAGTGAACAAAAGATGAACCTGTCAGGTGACCTTTAATGGTTTTGGTCCACAGAGTCTCAGCACGCATTCATTCTTCTATATGCTCCATCATTAGCACCAAAAAAAACTGTCTCAGTGCAAGACATTTTCAAGGCATTTGTGGAGGAGGCAAAGGAAGGGAAACCCGAGAAAGGTGGAGAGCTGGGAGGGAGTTCTGTAGATTGTGGAATGGTTTATTTGTTTGTTTGATTCTACCATCAAATCAAAATGTAGTAGTTGGGCAGCTTTGCATTTCTGCCAGCGAGGCCTCTTAAAATGGATAACTTCTGATACTCAAGTTCCTTATCGAGTTGGCAGTGCTTCTTGTGTTTGTTGCCTGGACACCTGACTCAGTGAAGACAAAACAGCAAATGGCGGCATGGCACAGACCAGTAGGCCTGATGGTTTGGCAGAGCTGAAAGCTGCCTCCCAGCCAGAAGTTATGCTGATGCCCTATAACATCAACTCTATTAGCATGCCTCCCTCTCCTGGGCCCCTCTCCCTGATTCTTTTCCTGGACCTTTGCCTCAGGGGCAGAACAGCTGAGTAGAAACTACTGGGTACAGCTTCTATCAGTCCTGAGGAAAGCTTGATTTAAGATTCTTCTCAGAAGCTTTTTGTTTTAGTCTTGCTGTCTGGACCAACCTTCTAGAATCCTACAGCTGACCTGAAGCCAAGAAGAAAGTTCTGGTGATGGGAGAAGTGGAGCCACTTAAGTTACTTACATGATGGTAAAGAATCTTGGCTTCTCCCTACCTCCTTCAATATGCTTCGTTTCCCTCCTCTCAAGACTTCATGGTTTCATTTTCCATTTGTGAAGTAATTAGAGTAACATTCACCTATATGGGGCATGATATGGAATAATAGCTGTGGTGCCTCTAGGTACTTTTTGTTTTAGACACTTAATGTAAATGGTTTCATCCACATTTACAGAAGAAGAAACAGTGGCTCAGAGTATTGTAACAACCTACTTGAGGTCACTCAGCTAATACATGGTAGAACTAGAATTTTAAGTCAGCTGTTGTCTTGACTCAAAAATTCATTCTTTTTTTTTTTTAACTATACCACTTTGCTTCAGATGAGCAAATAAGCAAAAACAAAAACAAAAAATTGTCTCTGAACATTGATGATGATGTGGAACATCTGGAACTTCCATATTCTGCTGGTGGGAATACAAATTGATACAACCACTTTGAAAAACTGTTGGCAATTTTCTACTAAAGCTGAACATTACATACGCCCTGTGATTTAAAAAAAAAAAAAGAATCCTAGGACTATCCCTAACAGAAATGTGTGCTTATGTGCACCAAAAGATATATACATAATGCTCATAAAAGCATTATCTATAGTAGTTCAAAAGTAGATACACTCCAGATGTTCATTACCAGACAAAGCGTGGTATTTCCAAACAATGAAATTTTCTATAGCAGTGGAAAACAACCTACTACTACATGTAACAACACAGATGATACTTCATACATGTGTGAAAAGGCACAAAAGAGAACATATTGTATTAGTCCATGTATATAAAGTTGAAAAATAGATAAAAATGAATCTATAGATTAGAATTCAGAATAGTGGTGACCTTTAGGGGATGATGTAAATGATGGGGGTACTAGTCATGTTCTATATCATGATCTGAAAGATGGTTACCCAGTTGTGAGTTGTGTTCACTTTGTAAACATTCTTTGAATACTACCCTTAAGATTAACACACTTTATTAGACACATGTTATAATCAGTAAAAATGCTTAACCCCTACAAATTCTCTGAGCAGTCAAACAGTGATAATAATGGAAACTACTATTTATCAGATATCTGCTAAGCCTTGGTTTCCTCATCTATAAAATGTAGAGAATATTAGAATATGCCTCATTGCCTTCTAGTGAGGAGACAGTGAGAGAAGTCACATCAGATGACTGGCAGAGTGGCATCAACAAATATCAACCATTGTAGTTATGTTCCCACTATTGTTCAGGCACTTTTCATACATTGGATCATTCTCACCACTTTGCAAGATGGGTGGCATTGTTCTCATTGTTCTAATGAGAGAAAATGAGACTCCTGGAGTATAAATCCCTTGCCCAAGGTCACACAGCTAGTGAGTGGCAGAACATGATTTCATTTTTAAGGAGTTGATGATCAATTTCAGGGGAGATGGAAGTCATATTATGATGGGCAAGTAGGGGACAATGATATGACAGAATGGAAAGATGGGACTGATGGGCTGCATTTGGGGCCAGGAAACCCAAGTGCAGGCCCAGACTCTGCCCCCACTTTCCTGTGATGACAGAGAAGTCACTGGACATCTCTGGACTTCATCTCAAACATGAGTGTATTGAACTTAATTTTCTTACCCTAAGTTCCTTCTGACTTTGCAATTTTGTCATTCTCTATGTTTGCCATTCCATACAGGACATCTTCATGACCTGACTCTGTGAGCTTAAACCCATTTTCCATCTAAAATCTTATTCTAGCATTTTTTTCAGTACTTTTCCTGAATCCCCCTATCCTGTAAGCAGGAGTGATTGTTTTTCCACTGCATGCCCGTTGCTTTATAATGAGCCATTTACTTGTCTGTGTCCTCTATAGACTATAAGCTCCTTGAGGATAGGGCCTTTTATTCATTTCTTTATTTCTGTGCATGCTGCCTGAAACAGTTCACACATCCAAGGAAATCTTGGTTTAATTAAATATTTTAATCCAGAGAAAGTTCTTTTTAGAGAGTGCATAAGAAGACAGCCTCAGGCTGTGCTGGACCTAAGGTGGAGACCTAGAGAAAACTTTTCCTTCAGATTTTTGTTTGTTTGTTTTATTAGAAGTCTGGGAGAAACAAAAACAGAGTGGCTAGATTTAAAAAAAAAAAGCATTAGATGACTGCAGCTCCCCAGCATGTGCTTATGAAATCTGAAGTTTGATCAGTGATTAAGCTTCAGTGAAAATCTAAACCCTTCCCATATGGAACAACCCCACTTAATTTAATGTCATTTTACTTTATGAGATAGTTAATAAACAGGTACTGTATTTGATCTTGTGAGTATAGCCCTCTATATTTAGCTTTTTCAGCTTTAATGGAACTGTAATTTTAATCATGATTATTACTTTACATTTTAATTATAATTTGGTGTGGCTTAAGTATACATTTCTGAGAATGATTGTGTAATGAAAACAGGAATTAGCTTTTCATTAACAAAATAATGGGAGAGTTCTCACTGCATTCTCGTCTGTGTTCAAAATCTATGGGCTGGCCTGAAAATAGAAAGGGGAGTTTAACGTTTTGGTTAAAAACATGCTTCTAAATTGGCTGTGTTCACAACCCAGCGTCTTTTGCTCCATCTTGTTTTATCTTGTTCTCTTTTTTTTTCAAAAATAAAATAAAATATTAAAAGAGATGTTAATTGTGTCTGAGATTTCAAAAGTCTTTTAAAATTATTTTTATTTTTATTTAGATAATTAGCACCATGGAGCCTCAGGTGTCAAATGGCCCGACATCCAATACAAGCAATGGACCCTCCAGCAACAACAGAAACTGTCCTTCTCCCATGCAGACAGGAGCGACCACAGATGATAGCAAAACCAACCTCATTGTCAACTACTTACCCCAGAATATGACCCAAGAGGAATTCAGGAGTCTCTTCGGGAGCATTGGTGAAATAGAATCCTGCAAACTTGTGAGAGACAAAATTACAGGTATGCTCTTCTTCCATCTTCTAAGCATGGGATTCACAGCTACATAGTTCCATTAGATGTGCAGACCTTAGAGAAAATGCACATGCATGATGATGCATCTGCATGTCTGTATCATGTACCCTACATGCAAGATAGCATGGATAAACTCACACCACACAGATGTACACCACTTAAAACCATATTGTAGATTGGTAGGACTGGGAAGCAGTTGAATATTTTGGCATGTCTTCAACTTTATGTGAGATGATCCTGTAGTTTTATTCCCTTTTATTCTTAATTAGCCAATCCTCTTCCTTGTTCTTTAATTTTCAGTACTGCCCTCTACCTTCTGTATACGCCACAATAGTTTTTGTTCATGTTTTCTCTCAAACAGTTGGTTTATATGTGTCCAATGTTTTTTCCATGTGCCTGAGACAAGTGTTTTAAAGGGGGTCACTGTGGGTGTGTGGAAGGATGACACAACTTCCCATTGTCCCTGGGGAGACACAGGCCCTAATGATAGCAGATTATTCTGGAATACAACTATTGTGTAGTATGAGGGAGATGCTTAATGAAAATCTGCATTTGAGGCATTTTATTTTATTTTGTTCGTTTGCTTTGAAGATACTGAGAAGTGAGGTACTTTTTACTTGAAAGTGAAACAATACCCTGTACATCTTCAATGCTTGAGATTTTTAGATTCTGATTTTTTCCTAATTGACAGCTGTTCATTGAGAACCAAATGTTCGCCAGACACTGACACTACATTTTTGGGGGGAGGAGTTCCCTGTAATCTTATTAGAAGTGAGAATATTTACTTAGAAAAATACTGGGCTACATAATGACATCAATGAAGCTGCTGCTCTCTGATACTCCACTCCTGAAATCATTCATGTTCAACTTCAAGTGCTTGTCAGTTTTGAGTGTTTACTTTTGTTTTTCTTTCTCAGGACAGTTTGATTGATGAGTAACTGTCCTATATAAGAAAAAAAGGAAACTCTATGATTAAAGTAGGGAGATACATCATCTAGACTTTAAATCAGAGAATACAGTGTATATGTGTGTGTGTGAATATATACATTCTTCTAGTCTCATAATTCACAAGTTAATTTGTCCCCTTTATAAATTAAGTACTTTGTAAAATCATAAAACTAGATACCAGTGCTTCTTTCTAAAATATAAGTAACTTCACTCTCCAAACACAGTTTCCTCACCTTAAAATTGGAAAATAATGCTTGCCTCAAAGGGCTTATTGCGCAGATTAAATGAGACTGGATGTATAGCATCTAGCACAATGCTTATTGTATAGCAGTCTCTCAATAAACCGGGATGTTATTGTTATAGATACAGCTGGTATGCCTCAAGGAAAGTGGACAGAACAGAAAAACTATATCAAGGTGTCCAAATAAGGCCAGGCATTGATCATGTTATCCAAGAACACTGGATCATCTGTCTTTTAACAGAATCGCCTATGCTTTCAGAAAACCGATATTTACATTCCTGAATAATCTTTATATAATAGGATGATAATTCAAACCAAATTAAAACCAGTTAACCATATGATTCTTCCTCCCACACTTGTATAGAAAATGTATTTTTGGTATAGCCTTGCCTTCTAAATGGAGACTCTGCCAGCTATATTAGTGAATATTATTAATCACCTTTTCAGAAGAGTTCCCTTAGAACTGTAGTTATATTTTTGAGAAGTACTGATTCATGGTGTTGTTCCTTGTTTTCTAAAGACACATGTTTAAACAAGCAGATTCCTTTACTGAAAGAATGCTAATTTAGTAGTTCACCGAGTGGATTTGAATAGGAGTGACAGCTTCGAAGACAGCCTTTAATTTGGTATACAAAACCAAAATTGTCAACTTTGGTTTGTTTAGCACCCTCTCCAGCACAAGCAGAGACATACAGTAGCATCTGAGCTTAAAGAAGAAGCTTATGGGTTGAAAGCAGAAATACAATTCAGGCATAAATTTATAATTATGCATTCTTCTTAAATTCAGGCAAAAAAAATTTATTTGTAGAGAACTTATAGGAATTAGGCAAGGAAATATAGAGAGACCAGAGATATTTGCCCTCATTTGGTAGCAGTGTTTAATAAAAGTAGAACTTGTGGTTGTAAAGAGTGCTTATTAAATTCTTCATTTACACTACCTAATTAATTCTAGCATTTTAAATTAACAGTGAAACTGGTCCCTGCTGTATCATTCCATAGATGCAGCATATTTTCTCCATCCACCCGTTGTTCAGGTTTAATTGGATATGCTAAAAGTCAGAGAGGGAGGGAGAGATAGGCTGTGGGGAGAGGGAAAGGAGTGGGAATAGCTCTAGCAAAGACCTTCCGAGGACTACATTTGGGGTTAAGTCTTAACACAGACTGAGAGAGGTGAGGTATCACACCAGGCAAGTGGTTGCAGCCGCTGGTTCAGAAGTCAGGGTAAATGACATCATAGGTATTTTTGTTGCCCTGATTTTTAACATCTCAGTCCCCTCTTTTCCTCCAACACCTCCTACAGATCTCAATGTATCTCGATCCTGTGAAGTTTACAAGAAGTTCTAAATATCCAGTGGGAGGATTGGGGGGTAGGAGGTGACAAAGAGATAAGAATTCAAGATTAAGATTTTCCAGCTCCAACCACTCCCTAAGAGAATGTAATGGATTCCCTTAGAAGAGTCTGGCTTCTGTAACGTTAAGATCCCTTGAAAGAGAAAGAGAAAGTGACTCTGTTGATAGCATCACCCACAGGCTGGATTCACCCTTGTCTGGGCTTGTCAATGAATTCGTCATTGAGAACACATAGAAAAAACTGGGACGTGGATTTAAGTGTTATGGTACTGACGACATAAATGCCACATTATCAGCACTTATTCTGTGCTAGGTACTAGCTAAGCACTAGATATACCTTATTTAATTTGACACAGAGAACACCCTCTGTTTTCTTTATGAGAAAACTGAAGCTTAGTGAGGTAAAGTAGCTTTCCCAGGCAATACAGTTATGAGCAGGTGGTGGAGTGGAGAGTCACCACAAGTTTCCAAAAGCATGATTTTATTTGGAAATATATGAAGACCCCTGCTTAACCCCCACTTCATAACCCAATGCAGCACTGTGTTCCTCTGAGTAGAACTTGCTGGCCGCCCTCTGAAGAGTTCACCTAATGCACCATGGCTTTAAACAAGACTCCTGTGTATAAAGTAAGGCAAAGATAACAATATTTGTCATCCTCTGGAGATATAACTCAGCCTGTGTCTTCCTTCAGAGTAGAGCCAAATGTACTGAAAATGCCAGGTTTTAGGTACGCTTACAGTGCTTTTGGACATCTCTGTTATTTATCTTCTCGGAAACATTTGCTTTTCTTTTTCCAGTTGGCAAAGGACCCTTAACAAGATAAAACACAAAGAGGAAATGTATGTCTTAAGTTGTTCTTGGTGTCCAGCCGTGGGCACATGATGGCACTGGAAACCAAGTCCTTTGTTTTTCTCCTTCATCCACTTGTAGCTTCTGCTGTTGGAGAAAAAAGGAAGTGGCACGTGGTTCACAGGATTCATGCAACCTAGAAACTCAAGGAATGAACACCAAACCCCTGGTAGAAATTAGGTTTTTCCCATGTACTTCAGAGAATTGATATAGTTTCTTTTTTTGTTGTTTTGATGCCTTTTTTGTTTTTGTTCTGTAAGCATTGAGATTGCGTTACTGAATCCACATCCCTCTATGATCAGCTTTTTAGGGGAGGAAACATATGATTTGGCCAGGACAGGGTTGGGTGGCTCAGGGTATGTCTTGAAACCAGCAGAGCTAGACTGCTAAGTTGAAGTTTTATAAGTGATTATCTTGTTACAATCCCACCCCAAAAGGAATAAAGAAAGGGAAAAAAGGTAACAGAGAAAAAATCCTTAGAAAGAAACACATCAATGTAAGATAACAAACAGTTTTGATCTGTCTACCCACATTGTGTGATTATTTCCATCACAGTGATAAAAAAGAATTGTATTTTTACTTGATGTCACTTTCCATGTATCCATGCAATGTACTTTTTAAGAGTAGTTTTCTATTCATTTCAGGCAAGTGAGAGCTCTGAAGGGAAGGTTTTGAGGACAAGGCAGTCCAAACTGAACTTCATTGAATGCAAAACTGAATATATCAGAGATTATTTTATAGAACAAACTATATAAATGTTGTGGGTAGTAGGAAGAGGTGAGGTTTGCATTGGCTGGCTGGAGCTATTGGGGAAGGTATGACAGAAGGGGTTAAGATTTAGGTAGAGGAAAAAAGCAAAGGGATAGACCTAAAATTCTGATCAAAGCACAAAATCATTACTCCTCTGTGCTTTTTTTTTTTTTTTTTTTTTTTTTTTGAGTCAGAGTCTCACTTCATCATCCAGGCTGGAGTGGAGTGCACTGCAACCTCGACCTGCTGGGCTCAGGTGATCCTTCCACCTCAACCTTCCAAGTAGCTGGAACTACAGGCATGAGCTACCATGCCTGGCAAATTTTTTGATATATGGTAAAGATGAGCTCTCACCAAGTTGTCCAAACTGGTCTCTAATCCCTGGACTCAGGGAATCCTCTCGCTTCAATCTCCTAAAGTGCTGGGATTACAGGCTTGGGCCACCGTGCCTGGAAATGAAGCTGGAACATGCCTCTTTAGAAGCAGTGGTGCCGGGCTCGGTGGCTCAGCCTGTAATCCGGTGCCTTTGGGAGGCTGAGGTGAGTGGATTGCTTGAGCCCGCGGGTTCGAGACCTGTCTGGGCAGCGAGACCTCCATCTCTACAATAAATCAAAAAAATTAGCCGGGTGTGGTAAAGCATGCCTGTAATTCCGGCTACTTGGAAGGCTGAGGCAGAAGGATCGCTGGAGCCCAGCAGGTCGAGGCTGTGGTGGCCGAGAGCGGCCACTGCACTCCAGTCTGGGGCGACAGAGTGAGACTCCAACTCAAAAAAAAAAAAAAAAAAAAAAAGAAGCAGTGGTCTAATATGAAGCAGTATTGCCTAATTAAGTTAAGCATGCCAAAAATTTA